TATATAAACATACACACATACATATATATATATAAACATACACACACACACACATATATATATATATATATATGAACATACACACACACTCATATATATATATATAACAAATGAATATGTAGATATGCAAGTAAAGTTCATTTAGTTGATATCTAAGTTATCTATTTTCAAGATTTTTTTAATACCAAGTTCACATTTCAGCTCAAAAGTTGAATAAAAATCTTCGTCAGTATACGAAGCAGTAAGAACTTATCATGTTTCTTTAGTTATAGAGAGTAAAGTCACTTCTGGTCTTATATATAAATATCAACGAACTAGACTTCTCCTGGTGTATGCTGAGAACGTAAAGGTAAAATCAACAGATCTGGTTTCCTTTAGCCCGCGGCTAATCTTTGAAAATATTAACTGTGGTTCGACTTACAGCTGGTTCATCTTAAAGGAAAATTCGCTTTCAATGGCCATTGGCACTTTCACTTGAACGTTAAATTTTGGACCGAAAGGAGAATAGCAAAAAATGAGTAAGCGCAATGATTGATTGATAAAGGCTCAAATACACTGCTGTAGTAGTTTGGTTGTATGAACGCCAACAATATTAGGGGTTCTAAATCAGTGAATCAAAAATGAGTAAGCGCAATGATTAATTGATAAAGGCTCAAATACACTGCTGTAGTAGTATGGTTGTATGAACGCCAACAATATTATAGGTTCTAAATCAGTGAATCAAAAATGCGTACGCGCAATGATTGATTGATAAAGGCTCAAATACACTGCTGTAGTAGTTTGGTTGTATGAACGCCAACAATATTAGGGGTTCTAAATCAGTGAATCAAAAATGCGTAAGCGCAATGATTAATTGATAAAGGCTCAAATACATTGGTGTAGTAGTTTGGTTGTATGAACGCCAACAATATTATAGGTTCTAAATCAGTGAATCAAAAATGAGTAAGCGCAATGATTGATTGATAAAGGCTCAAATACACTGCTGTAGTAGTTTGGTTGTATGAACGCCAACAATATTAGGGGTTCTAAATCAGTGAATCAAAAATGAGTAAGCACAATGATTGATTGATAAAGGCTCAAATACACTGGTGTAATAATTTGGTTGCGTGAACACCAACAACATTATAGGTTCTAAATCAGCGAGTAACATTACATTAAACTGGATAAGAAAATTAGTAAATAGTTATTGGCTTTCAGTGCTATCTGACGAATGCAGAGAGCATAACTTTAAGTTAAATAGCTTATTTTTCCTTATCTGTATGATAAAAAATTTAGGCTTAAGGCTTAAAACGTAAAAATAAAGTCTCGCGATTCATAATATATATGTTTAATTATATATATATATTTATATATCTAACTGCCCTAAACTCTATTTTTTAAAATGTTTTAGAATATCCCAATTATCCTATGTTAAATTGTTTTTAACAAATAATTATTAATAATTATTTTTAATTATTTAAATTATTGTTTTAAATTATACATACTGGGTTCTCATTAATATAGCAGAGCAATATGAGGATGACACTGTGTAGAGTTAGCCCCTTTATTCGCGAACGCAGCTAGAAATATTTTAATATGTATAGTGCTATTAGTGGTTTTGTTGATTATCACCATCTTGACCCGGCATGGCCAGGTGGTTAGGGCATTCGACTCACAATCTGTGAGTCGCGGGTTCGAATCCCCGTCACACCATACATGCTCGCCCTTTCAGCCGTGGAGGCGTTATAATATGACGGTCAATCCCACTATTCGTTGGTAAAAGAGTAGCCCAAGAGTTGGCGGAGGGTGGTGATGACTAGCTGCCTTCCCTCTAGTCTTACACTGCTAAATCAGGGATGGCTAGCGCAGGTAGCCCTCGTGTAGCTTTGCGCAAAATTCAAAACAAACAAACAAACCACCATCTAATCTTGTTACGATGACTTTAACCTGAGTAATTAAAAATATTTCTTTTAAACCAATATCTGAACAAATATATTAATTTAATGATACGTAATTTTGTAGCTACGGAGTTTTTTTTTATATTTAGTTTTTGTCTTAGCTTGCATTTGGTTTATATTCTACTCAGCTCAAAGTAATTACCGGCTAAATAAATACAGAAGTTAATAATTCGGCCTAACCTGTCACTTTCCCTACTCAGAAGTTCTCTATGGAGACGTTCCTTGTATTCCTCATCTGAGCTGACGTCAAACCTAACCTCGTGTGGTTTGTGCGATTCTTCCTGTATGATTTATAAGAAAAACTAATCAATATAAAAACCCAAATAGAAGTCATATATACATTTTGATCTCCTAAATCCGTAGTTTCATTCTATAGATATGTTTTTGCAAAGTAAGTGGTGATAATGAAAGAATAAAAGTTATAAAAACTTTATACGTGAGATAGTCTGTTGTAACCTATCAATGTTCTAATTAACCGATAAAGGATTCTAGGCTGTTGTAACCTGTCAATGTTGTAATTAACCGATAAAGGATTCTAGTATGTTGTAACCTATCAATGTTGTAATTAACCGATAAAGGATTCTAGGCTGTTGTAACCTGTCAATGTTGTAATTAACCGATAAAGGATTCTAGTCTGTTGTAACCTATCAATGTTGTAATTAACCGAAAAAGGATTCTAGGTTGTTGTAACCTGGCTAT